GTAGTACAGCTTGACATATACTATGGCTTGACATCATAGTGCTGCAGTTTGACATGTACTACTCCTTGACAACATAGTGCTGCAGCTGACATTGTACTGCAGCATTAGAACAATTTCAACCTGACTGAATTTATGCTAACCTTGTCTTGTGACTAACATTATAGACCATTTTCCAAACTTCTTGGAATCCCGCGTTGTGCGTGAAAATTGAATGTAAAAACAGCACAAACAAAGGTCATACATTGCACTGAATTTGACAAATGTGGAAGTATTTTTTGTTATTTTCATGTTTAAATATTGTATTACATCCAGGATTTCTAAGATAAGGACATGCAATTATCTAACTGATATGTTATAAACATTTAATGATAGCCAAACTTGTGAAGTAAGAGTATCTCAAGCCATATTCTCCTCTGAAAGATCAGTATTTTGACCTATGAAAACAAAAATTCAAGTTCAAAATCAAATCATTTGTTTTTTGTGGCAGATGTTCTGTTCGCACCATTCATGCAAAACGCAAGATCTCGTAGACGTCCTGGAAATCATTTACTGCAGCTACTGAGAACCGGAACCCGGTCTAAACTGAAAACCAACGGGACTGAGTAAACTGTTTACAAAAGTAGTTTAAATCGAAAGTACAATAATTTTGACAGTTTTCTTCTGGGGTTCAGTTAAGACAGAATCAACTGTATTTGAACCAAAAAAAGGTAATAGAAGTCAGGATTTAACTAACATAGGAGATTCAACAGGGCACTTCAAAGCTATAAACAAACCTGAATATTTTTTATTAAGGTGGTAAATTAAAGTAAAGCAAATATCCAAATTGTCAGTCACTCTACACAAGACTAAGCGTCAGGGTTATTGTAAAAGACCAATCACAAGAACATCAACTCTTTAAAAAAAAACAAATTGAGAAGAATAGAATATTCTTTAGCCATCTAAAAAGGTGCATAGATGTAAAATTTTCCAGAGCAAAGCAAGGAAATAACACTGAATACATGACAAAGTAAATACCCCATTACATAGTATTTGATTGCAGTATATTCGCCATTATTTCCTTCTTTTATTTCCTATGTGAGAACAAAGGGTGCCACCATACAATAATTTGTACATAAAAAATAGGTGGTGACATTACATACTGCATAAACCATGGAATTCTCACATTTTTAATACATAATTTAGTTCATTCATTTCAAAAACCCCAGTGCAATTATCGCTGCTACAAAATAATGAAAGTAGCTACGACTCACTAAGAACCCATCGTAAAATGTTATGCCCCTTGTGAAATTGACAACTATAAATCATTTAAATATAAATAATAACCTAAAGCTATGCATATTGCAGTTTACTGTTTATCACATCAAAGAAACTAGTATCTAGTCTCTATTCAAATGAATCCTGAATTACTGTTATTTCAGTAACAGTTTCATGTCATCTGACTCGGCCGATTCAAAATACGTTGAGCCATCTGGAGCTTTTCCATCAGTACTTGCACCCTGCAGAAAAATAAGACAATAACATGTTGAGTGAATTTTGCACATAACTTAGGGCATACTCAACAACTATTTACAAATGTCAAAATTGATATCAGTCCAACCTGTTTTAGTGACTACCTTTATATAAAGACCGACTGCCTACAACGACCTTCCTTTTGGGTGGTCCTAGTGCAATTTACATGCAAAGTGATTTGTATATAAAGACCACCTGTCTAACATGACCAGTAACCACTCTTTTGGCATTACATTGGTGAGCCTGTATAAAGGCCAAAGGGATGTAAGATGATGACATGTTTAGTGTTTTCCACTACACCGACGTTTGATTAAATTGAATATTTCAATTTATTCCTCTCCTTAAATATATCTTCACAAATTACCCCATAAACTGAAAAGTTATCATATTTGTATTAAAAAATAAATTAAACAACCTCCATATAAAGACCACATCATCTGTATACATGACAATTATCTTTTACACAGGTTTGACTGTATATGGTAAAATTTTCAACAAAAAAACATTGGCAATTTTGTTTTCTTTTAAAAATCAATACCGAGTAGAATATCATGACCAAAGAGAATGAGGATCTGTAAATGGACTGAAATTCCAAGTGATGTTGACAATGTCTGAGCCTGTGTTTCCATGCCCACACTGTTTAACCATTACCACAAATTGCCACCAGAGGGCAGAATTGATAAAAAAAAATATATAATGCATTACCTTGTGTAACAGTAGTCTTACAGAATCTGTATGTCCTTCAAATATAGCTGCTAATATAGGGGTAATACCATGTTTATCTGGTAACTGTATGAGAAAATATGCAGCTATTTAATAATCTGTTCTGCCAGTCTCAATAAAACAATCAGAGTTGTCTTGACTGGTAACTCAAGAAAATGGAATTATAATCAGCAATAAATTTGCAATGGAAACTAATTTCACTTGTCCAGCTTGAGATTCAACACTCCTGGAACAACGATGTGACTATTTAGGCAAGTTGCAATTCTCCTAATAAAGTCTTATCAATCAAGTTTAATCAACACAAAAAAAAAAAAAAAGAGTCATTGTTAATGACATAGTCCCTGTATTATAGACGCAAGATGTATATATATGACCCAATGTGTGATGCATGTGTGAAATTTAAACTTGATTGGTCTAGCATGTAGAGATATGACTCCACTGACCTGCAATCGTTTAAACAAGATGACTGATAGACAGCAATTATGAATTTGATGATTTTAATGATGACAAAATGCATGTGCGTTTGTCCGATATGATGTACATGTGAAGTTTTAGCTTGATCGGTCAAGCCATGTCAGACATATAGATTTGAAACTATTATTTAAAACCTAATCCGAAAAATAAAATGACGTGCATCAAGGTTCCAAGTTTGAACAGCAGAATATGTCCATACACAGCTGAGATCTGTTTTCGGAATGGTGAAAATGTGTGATCTCCATGCATTTTGGGCCTAAATGACTGCAATTCGGCAATCTTCAATCGGATCATGAAACAAATATAGGTGTAC